GAGTCTGGGTTGTGGTGCTCTAGCAGTGCTGTCCTGAGGCTGGTTAGTATCGGTGTGGCTCAGGTCGGTGAGCCTCAGGACCAGCTGGCTCAGGGGGCTCTGTTTTGGGCTCAGCTCTTGGCTCAGCAGGGCTTTGTGGTGGTAGGAATTTTGGTCACTGTTTTTTAGGTGTAGCCAATACTTTAATATATTGTAATATAATATATGTAATATATTGTAATACTCTCTCTCTCTCTCTCCCCCTCTCTCTCTCTCTCTGCCTCTCCCCCCTTCTCTCTCTCTCTCCCTCTCCCCCCCCCCTCTCTCTCTCTCTATGTCTCGGCCTTTCTGAAGATGCGTCAATCACCAGACGAGGAATGGCGCCACCCTTCTCTACTTGGCCTGCCAAGAGGGGCACCTGCACGTAGTGGAGTTCCTGGTGAAGGACTGTGGTGCCAGTGTCCACCTGAGGGCTCATGATGGCATGACGGTTCTGCACGCCGCGGCACACATGGGACACCACGCCCTGGTCGTTTGGCTGGTGAGTACAGCCCGCAGCTCGCCTCCCATCATGCACGAGTGTAGGACATCAGTTAAATGGAAAGGAAAAGACTTTTATTTGAACCACAGCAGAAAGGTATTTTTTTTTTACTAAGGGGCAAGAGTCAGGAGGATCCGGTTTCTACGTTTTTATACAGATTTCCAATTTTTCATATACTGATAGAAAACCTTAAGCAGTGGGCAAGGGTAACAAAGAAATTTGGAAGGATGAAGTGAGTCCCATTTTCCCTGATATTGAACTGGCATTAGTAATGGAATTGGTTCATTATTATGTGTAGGTGTGAAATGGCACCTTTAAAATGAATGGTTTTAGTTTTGCAAAAACAATGGTGCTTTTAACATTTAGTATTTTCAGAAAACAGTATTGTATAGTAACAGAGTATTACTACACAGCTGTGCAAAAGTCTAATATATTTTGCTTTGTTCTACTCTTTTCACTCAGTTTTAGTGCTATTGTAATATTTCTACCAAAGCACAAATCAATTTGATGAATTTTATTCAGAAAGTTTAGTCTTCGAGCTAAAGTTATGCTGATAAATCTGCATTTTACATAACAAAAAGCAGTCCTTTAGCTTTGGATATGTAGACACTAATAAATTATGTAATGTATGTATGGTGGGACACTTGATAAGGAGTCAATTAAATTTCACTGGCAATTGTAATAGATTACCTGAAACAACACTTCATATTAATCCCACATATATAGTTAACCTGAGGTTTTTTCAGACCAGTGCTCAATGAACTAAAGAGTGCTGAATGGCCAGCATGATTTCTTTTCACCCAGACTAAGCTAGGTGAGACTAAGTGTTAATACCAAATATTTTAAAATAACAGAAACCCCCATGGAGACTTTGTGTAAATTGCTCTCATTCACAGCATTGTGTATACAGTATGTGTTCATGCCTTTCCTTCTGTGCCTGTACTTGGATATTATTACGCACCACTGTTATGGTTTTTCAGCATGGTGAAATTGAGATTTTTCCTATGCTTTTTAATGTTTTCTTTACTCATTATTTAATTAATCATATTCAAGAATAAAAGCAACTACTAAGCCATTTTTTGTTTTGATCTTCTCCTTGATTATTGGTGTCTGGACCCTGGATGTTTTAGACTGGTGTTGTTTGTCCACTACAGGCTTCCTTCACAGACATGAGCCTCTCTGCTCAGGACAACGAGGGGGCCACTGCACTGCACTTTGCAGCCAGTGGGGGGCACCACCGCATCCTGGAACGGCTGTTGCGCATGGGAGCAGAAGTCATTAAGGACTACTGGGGTGGGACCCCTCTACATGATGCAGCTGAGAATGGGGAGCTGGAGGTGAGGGCTACCTTTCATTTGGGCAGGTTTGCAAACTCTGTTTAAGAAAGTAGAGATGCACAGCTGTCACAACACATGACAAATATGCATACTTAGCACACTGGCTTGTGGCAGCCATGTCTTGTAACATCTTGTTTTAAGCAGTCTAGAGGAAACCTGTCCTAACCAGTATATCAAATTTAATCCCATGCAACCTAGCACATCCACAGAAAACATTTTGTTATAATCTGACATTTAACAAAACCCTTTGTTGTAATCTGAAGCATGTTACAAACATCTCAATATATCTTTCTCCGCCTGTCTAATGTTGTTAGACCTGCTCTACCTTTCTGTTGTCAAAAAAGTGATAATTGACTTTATTTCATGAAGATAAGACCACTGCAATACCTTAAACACCTGGCTTCCTTCCAAAGTTTTAAATATATCTCAACTTGTCCAGAATTCAGTAGTTTGAGTGATAACTATAAGTACTATTCAGTACATCACTCCAGTTCTCTGTAGATGACACTGACTCACAGTAAAATATAGAGCATCCTTTAAATTCACCTGCTCCGAATGGCCCAGCTCATAATTATTTTGACCACGTGCTGGTGTAACAACTGGACAACCTGTACAGTAAATGTAGGGTTCCAGCAGCTTTGTTGTTTGGTTTCTTGTTAAAGATCCTGTGACTAAACCACCTGGCCAGGTGGTCCAGGTGTGGTCACAGAAGTCATAAACACATAGGCCAGACAAGTAACAGTGCAAATAGTGTCTGTTTGCTAAAAGTGCTCTGATGTAAGAAAATGAAAAAATACATTAAACAAAAATAATAAATCATAATTATTAATAATAATAAACTGTGCTTTCTCCAGACTCTAATGAGTAGTTTCCAAACAACAGGTCTGCAATCAATCCTGCTCTATAATGACAGAGCCAAGGATACTCCACAAAGTCAGACAAAATTATCCAACTACACCAAGAGTCCTACATTAATCACCCTAAGATCCACTTCATCAGCCCTCTTGATGGACAGATAAATCTCCCTTTAAACCAGGGGTGAGTCAGGGTTTGTAACTCGGACCCAGAATGGCACGGCAAATAATTGGTAGTGCTTATAATAAATTCACAAAACGTATTTACAAATGTAAAGATATAGGCATTAACATTATTATTTCTTTGATGTGAAATGACAAAGATAACAGGTCAGTAGATACTGAAAATGAAAGCCTTACGAGAGACCAGTCATGCAGCTAGAGTGCACGGCATTGCTCTGTCACAGACCTGTTGAAAGTGGAGTGATTCATTCTTCCCCCAGTGCTGTCGAATCCTGCTGATGAACCAGGTGAGTCCTGCAACGCAGGACAGAGACGGGTACACTGCGGCCGACCTGGCAGAGTACAACGGGCACTATAACTGTGCCAACTACCTGAGGGTCGTGGAGGAATGTGTGAGTGAAGTGATTTGTTTTCTTTTTTCACCTCCAAGTCTGAATTGCTGAAAGGGGGCTTTCCACGCACATGTAGCTTCCCACCTTAAAACTAAGTATGAGGAAAATGAATCAATTTGTTTTCTCTTTGTCCAGAGATGATGTCTTTTTTCATTATAAAAGAGCTACGATTGCCGCCTTTCAAGATTTGGTATCGGAGCACAGCAGCCCAGTTCAAATGGGGTTTTTGACATTTCGTCCAATTCTTACCCCTCACTAACATCTGTCTCATTGGGTTGCATGAATTTAAATAAATGGATGGCAGTATAGTTCATGATAGTTTTAAAAATTAACACAAGCTTGAGTAGCAGGAGTGTAATTTCCACGCAGGGAGCAATAGGTGTTAACAGAGTGTTAAGTACTTTGTGCTTCACAGTCAGTATGTTTGTGGTTGCACTCTTCCTCTGGAACCTCAGATACTTAGCTATTTTAAGCTATATTCTGGGTGTTCCAGAAACAAAATTTTCTGTTGACATTGGAATTTTGTGTTAGAGTACAGAATTCCAAAAAAACAGAAACTGGAATCACAAGCTCGTGATTTATTTGTGTGGCTTCTAAAAAAGATTCTGGAGCCTCCGGGGATTTTGGCTAAGCTCTTTGTTTTCAGTCCTCAAGAAAAATGGAATGGTAAGATATATATATTTTTTTTAGTCTGCGTGAATATTTCAGTACTAATGCCATATTAGTGCTCTGCATACTGTTCTCTTTCTCCATTCTCTCTGAAGAAGATCCTGATCAATCTTAATGTGGGTCACAAAAAAGGAATGCTGTGCAGCTTGATGCATCTTTAGTTTCAGTTGGTTAACCAAAGATTGCTCATATGGTCCACACCATGTCAGACAAAAGGGTGTACAAACCAATGTTATGCCATGAACCAAGAACCTAAAAAACCTGAGAGAGTATAGTATATTTTCTTTCAGTGCTTAGTTACAAATGTCTTTTCTTGACAGATGTATCACACACATCCTGGAGTCTAGAGCTCTAAACAGATGGTTCAGACACCATGAATATGTGGGGGGCCTAATTTTGTTTAAGGATGCATAGGCCTGCCTCAGTAAGGAGCTTTAATATATCACTTGATATCAAGTTCATTTGAGAGCTGCCAATTATTCATTAGCCTGGTTCATACATATGCAAGAAAGATGATCACGACATTCCTGTGTGTCTCCCCCTCCAAAACATGCCTGTCAGGCTATCCTCTAGTACTCCTCTTATACTATACATGCCCACAGGACCAACTCCAGAGCAAAAGCTATGGCTCTATGAACCAAGGATGCCTTCAATAACTATAAAACCAGCCAGCCCTTCACCAATTATCCACCACTACAGTACTTGGGGTGTCCTGGTCACATCTGACTGATTCCACTGCACATTGTTGCCAAAACAGGGCTTCAGATTGTCAAAATTACTGGTTGAGGCTTTCCTGTGATTTTTATTTTTTTTATTTTTGGTGGAATGGTTAATTTACATCACAAGTAACTACTTGTAAAGCCAAATAACCGCATGCAGGTCAAATGCTAGACGTGTCTATTTTCCAAAAGGATGTCTTCAGCATCTTATGAAAACTGGCACATGTGACTCACAGGATAGTAAGCTATGCTCTTCGAGAAGTTAGGTGAAAAAAAAAGAAAAACAAATCCATTGCAGTACATAGCCCGAAGCATTCACATGTGAGATGTTTTTTTTCCTATTGTTTCATTAAGATTCCCTATTAACTAGAATCACTCAGCACATGTTTTGTGCTGTATCTACATTCGTGCCACCGCTTGCAGTAACAAAAGATCTATAAATAAGTAACAACATCGCCGTTGTTAATATCTTAATGCACCGAGGCTGATGGAAATGAAGCTAGCCTGGGCCAGTGAACTGCATTAGAAAGGTTCCCTGAACAAAGGGCCTAATTGCTGGTTTTGGAGGGTGGTGGAGTCAGGTGCAATAGCTTACCTCCCCAGTGCTGGATAAGAGACTATCAGTTACTCTTCTCTGGCAGCATTCATAGGGATGGAAGGGATGGAGCTGGTTATGAGATCCTCAGGCTTTAGTTTCAGAGGCTGCCAGGCACCATTTTCTCTATGTCTTCGTCATGCGCCACTTTGAAAGTGTCCAACGCTAACAGGGGAGGGAGAGAAATGTATTTCTTAAATAAAACTTTAAACTTGTTCAGTTACTGTTAGCATGTAGTTTCCAGATCATCAAGTTCTTTAATTAATGAATCATTATAAGCTGTGCTCGCTGTTCACTAGACTTACTAGTCCTTGCATTGTGAAGGGCTTTTTAATGTTTTAAAAAGTAGGGCTTTTCCTGCATTGTGTTCTCTAAAACGGAACATGAAGTTTCCCTCGGGTAACTTACTGATTAACATTGGGCTGCATACCTCTGCTATTGAAAGCCTTCCAGCCAAAGTGACAAGTATCCTGCTCAAACTGACGTAATTACAATGTTTCAAGTGGTGTTTTTTTGGTGATACCTTCTCGTGAAAACATGCATTAACTCCACTTACCTGTACTGTTGCTTATTTTGACTCATGTTGTTTGTCTAACTATTCTCCCATGTAAGCTCTGCTTCTCCCCATCCCAAAAAAATCCTCACTGAGCCCTTAAATGGATTACTTGGGATCCATGCCAAGGAACTGCATTGTAAACACCTCACCCTTGGCAGTTTCCCAAATGGGACACTCTGATTCAGAGCAACCTATTGTGTGAACAATAGTCTTGACACCCCTGAGCTGTTCTGGAAAAGCAGAACAGCTGCAAATATTCAAAAGTCAAATTTGAAGAAAAATGGTATGAGCGATGTTTTATTTCTGTCACATCAGCATAGATGTGACTTACTGATGTTAGCACTGAAGAAGATTTAAGAAGAAATGTCTCATACTGGCTAGTTCCTTATACAGTTCAAGTCTTTATTCCAGAGTCTTCATTTTTCTATCGCAATATATAAAAACGCTGTATGCAAAACAGCAAATCTGGAACTTTAGTGGCATACCACTTATAAACAACCACTAGGGGGAGTGGGAGGCCAGCTCTAAAGTACAGTTTGAAACGTCCTTACCCTTTTCTGTCACAGTTCTTCCGCACGTAATAGTGGCTTGGCATTCTTCACTTAGAGGGAGTTCAAAACCCACACGAGCTGTAAAGTCAACTGCTTTAAAAGACATTTTAAAATCAACAGATCATAAATTACATGCTTTGGACTAAAAGTAAAATTAAAATGTCTCAGAAACCCCACTTACCACACAGGTAAGTGAAGCCAATGCACACCAAGATATAACTAGAATAAATGAAATTCTGGGCTGTGGATCAGACTAGCTTATAAAATAAGAGTCTTAGGATCTGGCTAATATTAACAGAGAAGATAAAAGAATTCTGTTCTCGGGGAACAAGACAAAGAGCTAAAGTAAACTTGTGGCTAGCGAATCATCCACTCATCCATTTTCTAACTGTTTTATCCAGTACAGGGTCACAGGGGAACCAGAGCAGCAAGCCCAGCAACCAAGGAATGGCTGCAAGGCAGGATACAACCTGGAGGGTCTTCCGCAGGTCACACACAGACAGAGAGGCACACACACTCACACCAGGACCGGTGTTCCCAGAAGCCAGTGAACCTACCAGTATATCTTTGAATTGTGGAAGGAAACTGGAACACCCAGAGGAAACCCACGCAAGCACAAGGAGAACATACAGTTCAAACTCTAAGCAGATAACACCACAGGTCTGGAACGGAGGGCCAGGCCCCAGCACCGCCAGGCGGCCACGATAAAACACTAGTCCAGCGTGCCAGCCGATATTGAATCATCTTAGCTGAAATTATAAAGTGTGGCTAGAGAGAAGATTAGAACACTATTAAATGAAGCCAACAGCAGCAGCTTTTGGTTAAATTATTTTTCAATGAGTGTCACTCTAAGAGACCCATGCAGGTTGATGGCTTCCTTGGAGTGCAGTCTGTCATGAGCATCAATTAGCACACAGGGATTCCAATGTCAGCCCGACAGAAATCGGGTCATGTCATGTCGGGTCATGACCTTGACCCACTAGGAGTCTTCCACAGCTGCCCATTGCCACCAATGGCCAACGAGATGGGATCCTTCAGGAACATTTTATCTTCTTGCTTAGGGTGCTGACCTTCTTGTTTCTGCCTTGCTGTTTCCGAGCTTTTTAAATAATTTCTCTGCCACTAAAGATTCTTCCCAGAGGAGACACCCACTTAACAGGGGTTCCAGGACCATGTTTTGATTCTTCTTTCACTTTGTTTCTGTTTTTCTATTTGCAATTGCACCTGTAAATGAAGTAAATGGAGCATAATTTGTAGGTGATGTCTAGATCACAGGATTGGATTGGCTCCACAGAGAAATGTTTTTACTGGTTTAGTCACTCAGGAGCCAACAAACAATGTCTGTTCTCCTTAAACATATGGTAAATCTGCATTGCATTCTTAAAGCAGTCCCTTACACATTACATCTCACCAGATCTGTTCCACAGCATTAGCTGAAAACTGCACAATTTGACTGGATTGAATTTAGATCCCTGTGTGGCTCATTGTGAACCTATCATTGGTGGTGGTGGAGGGGAGTCCCCATGACCTGTAAAGCGCTTTGAGTGGAGTGTCCAGAAAAGCGCTATATAAGTGTAAGCAATTATTATCATTATTATTATCAGTTATGATCAATGTTCTCCACAGTGAAAATACAGCTGGAGAGCAAGTGGTAACTCCACACAGAAGTGATTGGCTCTCATCACAATATGAGTCTGTGCCATTTGGCTTTGACCTACTTATTCCCGGTGAACCTGAACTGTGATGGCAGTTCTGACATTTGATAGATATCTTGTAAGCAAGACGTAAAGCCACTGTGTATCACGTCCAACTGGGAAAACTTGATCAATGACCTGGAAACAAGTGTCACCAAGGCGTAAATCAGTTTAAGGTGACTGTTAGCATCTCTGCCTTTGTTGCGATCACTATGGCTGAATGGATGGATCCATTACCAAGTTATTCTGCCAGTGTGCGCATCAGGATTATAGACGGACAAGACTAAATCTCTGTTACACTACCCTGTTGTTTCATACCCTGCAGGGGCATGGAAAAGCAGCCAAGCGTGCAGGATACAATGTCCCTTATTTGCTTATCTCAAGCCCCCCACCTCCTTCACTTGAACAAACACATTTTGGTCTCCACCCCTGCATCAGTGACATCACTGGCTATCCAATCCTCTTCTTCAATTATGAATGTCATTCTAAGAAGTTCTCGATCTGAGTTTATTGTTTATTATCTGCTGATCCTTGGGCTTTTGGCCACTGGCTGGAAAGACAAGACCAGTGTCGTCAAGTAGTAGGTAGTTTGAGCTTCAGCTGGCATGCTGTCTTCTGAAGGGGAGGCTTAAACCAGGTGACTAAGACAGGTATCGATGAGATGTGGAAGAAGCTATAAAAGTTGTAAGTATGTATATTTTACAAAATATTGTCCAATAGAAAACTACTTTGGTGTGGTCCCGTCAAATGTGTTGTATGAGCATTTATAATAGTGGAATAGTGACTTTTTATTACCTGTGTCTTAGGTATGTGCAGGATGGGCTTTTAACAAGAAAGTGAAATCGTTATGTTTATTTTTACATGGCCTGTTAGATATTTGTCGACTATGTGTTTTATGTATTGAAAAATGTATAAGTCATACAGATAAAAAACGTGCGCAACAAACAATGTAAAAGAGGTCTACTTTTAGTATGTGGAATTGTGTCTGAGTAGTCGTTGACTATGGTTACACAGAATAAAAATGAAAAATACACAAAAATACATCCTTAGAGTTTAGAGTGCCAGTACCAACAGTTCACAGCTGGTTATGTTCATAGTTGGATACCATTTGAGAATTTTTTAGCCTGAGTTCTAAGAGAAGGTTTCAGTTTGCAGTTTTTTATGGTAGCTTTCTTAATTAGTATTTTACAATTTGCAAAGTTATAAGTAGTAATGTTGTTCCGTGTTAAAGACATGCCAAACGTTAAACAGATGCTTTGACACAATTATGAACAATATTATAACTTTGGCTTCTTCTGTTGAATTCAAATGAGGAAGTGACATGGCTCTCAGTGAGGACAGGGTCCACATCCTGGATGATCTTACCATTTAAGCTGCATGATGTCGTTCAGTTAGCATTGCTGACTTACACCTTAAGGGTCCTGAATTTGATTCTGTCTTTGAGTGCTTTTTCAAGCAGAGTTTTCATGTTCTCACTTTATTATTATGAGATTTTGGTGGATGCTTTGGTTACCTCAGAGACATGTGAGCTAGATTTGAGTAGTTTCTCTGTCCTGTTTTTGAGGGAAGAGAGCACTTCTTGCGTTATGAGTAAAATGGAATCAAATGAGCATTATGGGCTGTGGTAGTGGTAGTCTTGTGCCTGCCCAAACTCCTACTCACAATTAGAACCTCTAGGATAATCTGCAGACATGCCATTTTGACAATTTATATTTTTTTCTCACTTTAATCATCATAAACTGGAATTGTGCCTGATCTGCAGCTCAGTGATTTTAGGGACTACTGTTCCTTGTTACTTCCTTAAGTTGTAGTTCACTGGTGTGAAATGTGGGATATTCACATTGGGTTCCAGTGTGTTGAAGGACTGGAGTTTTCACAAGAGATCTGATTAATGTTTGCTGTGCTACCCTTAGCTTTGTGCAAGTTTGTGACAAATTACACGTCACGAGGACCGAATCAAGAAGTAGTGGAACTGAAGCCAATTTATGACAATAGTAGGTTTACTGAATGCTTTTGATAAACTTGAAGTAAAGATGGCTTGTATGTTTTCATTGCTTTTCCTGTTCAGTAACTGACCAGGTTATGGCTTGAATGTGATGCTCTAATACCTTAGGCTTGACTGCAATACAGTCTACTAGTAACATCTTGCAGTCTGTGAACCCTCTACAAGTTCTGCCAAATGCACCAATTAGACTTCTGCTTATCTGTTATTGTTTTTATAGCAGATCGAGATCCAGCTTATACCAATATTAAGATATAAAGAGAGTTGGATTTGGTGTAGATGTTTTCGGCATTAAACATCTGCTTTTTCTACACAACCTCAGAGGAGGATGAACCTTGTTTTCTGCAAATTGCTAATCAGAAGAGCAAAGGTTTAACTTCTTTCATTTTCTTATTCATTTATTGTTCTATGCTTGAAGGGGTCATAATATAGCAATGTAGGATAGTGCTATGCTGGATAGCGCCTCTTCAGGTAAAGATGAGAGTTTAATGCTCAAAGTTTGAAGACCTGTTTAAAGTTATACCTACAACTAATAAATTTAATGCTTAGACTGGTTTGAATTCAAAGCAAAGGATTTCATCATTGCATATATTGATTTATATCTCCTCCACTGCTGAAATTCTGTGAACTATGCATGGGATTATTTTCTTAAAACTCACCCAGTACAGACTCGATAGGTGAATTTATCTGTCATTGCTAGTGTGTATCTACCTGGCATAGCATGAGCAGCACCAGGGCTGTCATTCAGTCCTCAAAGACAAAAACATTCCACAAATCACTGCTGCACTGGGGGACGTCATCTGAACCCCCCTATCCAATTACTACCTTTTATCTGATGTTGAACCATCTTTTATTCTCAGCTATATAAAGGAAACACAGTGGGACTCGAGAACAAAATAGCAACTGAATCGTTTTTCACATTGGCTCTATTCCGGTTTCGAAGCTCACATGTTTCATTAATTGCTTTTAGCTCAGGAAGGCATTCAGAGCCCATTTAAAACAAAACAAATGTGATTGTATTCTTAGAGATGGTGAAACATCCTTCTGCTCCACCTAAGCTTCTGGTTTAATGGGCAGCACAGTTGTCGTTTGTACTACTGTGTCACACATCAAGGGTCCCGGGTCTGATTTTGAGGAGTTTGGGTATTCTTGCTGTGTTTTCACAGGGTGCTTTATTTCCTTCCGCCATCCAAAAATAGGCAAATGAGGTTTGGAGACTTGAAAACTATTCCCTGGACGGAACCTGGTTACACTTCTTACAAGTACTTTTTTTTTGTGTGTTAGCAAATTCTTTATCTAATAACCATATACTGTATAGCTCTCTTCTTCCCAGCAGCCATGTCACCCTGCAACTGCAACCTGAAGCTAAGCAGGTGTGAGCCTGGTCAGTACCTGGATGTGAGACCTCCTGGGAAAAACTAAGGTTGCTGCTGGAAGAGGTGTTAGTGGGGCCAGCAGGGGGCGCTCACCCTGCAGTCCATGTGGCTCCTAATGCCCCAGTATAGTGACGGGGACACTATACTGTAAACAAGCGCCGTCTTTCGGATGAGACGTAAAACCGAGGTCCTGACTCTCTAAGGTCATTAAAAATTCCAGGGCGTTTCTCGAAAAGAGTAGGGGTGTAACCCCGGCGTCCTGGCCAATATCCCATGCCTCCTAATAATCCCCCTCTATGAATTGCCTGCATTACTTTGTTCTCCTCCCCCACTCTGACGGCAGGCGGAGCGACGCGCCGGTTGGAAGTATTCTCGGTCGCATTTAATGGCAACGTCAGCTCAAAGATTTGGTTCAAACCACCAAATGGAGATGGGCGTGCCAACAAGCGGACCCTGCTGATGCGGGATTAACGCTAGGAAAGAGAGAGCTCTTTTCTTAACCTGTGTGCATAATCTACAGAGATACTTTTGCAATACAGATAACAGGTGGTATCTAGAAAACCACTGTTAACTCCCTCTGATGCACGCCTGTGTGTCAGGATACTGTTGTCAAGACGGCGTAGAACAAGGATTAATTCGCCAGGGCTTGCACAGCATTCCAGAAAAAAACAGCACCTCCTGCGTGATTTTCAATGCATCACCTCAGTATTCCTAATTTGTATGTGCCTCTCCACATTGTCAGGTTAGTGGCAATGTAAAATCCCTTATGAGATCAGCAGCCTTTCCACATAATTCCTGTTTTTATTCTGTGTGACCAATTAATTTTTTATATAAAAACATACATATCTGGCTATATACCTCAGTTTTATTGAAAAGTGTATACTTAATTAGCATTCTTGATCCACCCAGAAGGTGCATCACACATTAGAAGGGATTTTCTGACAAATACATTTTAGGTTACTTGATCTATACCCTTTTTTGCTGCCTGGGCCCAATGAACACAATATAGTTTTGGTGCTCTCTTCTCCAGCCCTCTACAGCAGACAGCTCCCTGCCTGCCATCAGCACTAACGAGGCAGAGAAGAGAGGAAAACCAGCAGTATCCTGGCAGCCCAGCAGTGCAGACTACTACCGGCGCCTGAACGACCGGCGCAGAGATTCCTGCAGCAGCACAGGAATGGAGAATGGGAAGGTAGCTGTAATGCCATAGCTGAGGAATTCAGCTGGTACACAGTTGTCGATGCCTAAAGCTTTGAGAAAGATCTTAGGAAAATTCTAACTAAAGGCCTTCATTGGCTTTCTCCTTAACTGCTATATATTCTTAGCTAATTCCTACAGTTTTTAAAAAAATAGGAAGGGGATAATTATATTGAATTTTACACTCCCAGTTTTTGGAGCTCTTATAAAACTGACTGTATGTGTTACTGTTTCTAAAGCTTGTTTTCCCATTGATTAATGCTTCTTTATGGGCTTGGCTCAAATACGAACATTCCCAAATTACTCTCAGGTTTAAAATCTGGGCATTTGTTTAGAGCTTTGTCAACGTAATGTGTTTTGATAACCTGCTTTCCACCACCATGGTGTTCTCATTGCAGGGGCTTGCCTGATGCCTGTCTACAACACTTAAATCAAACTTACCACAGTGACTTTTCTGTATTCATTATTCTGTACATAATTTCCTACTTAGGATCTTAACATTAGACCTCCCAGGAACAGGCCTCACATTTTTGGTTTCCTCCCATTGTTTCTATGAAATAAGCAAAATGTGCAGCATGCTCACTTCATCTCTGGATAGGTTTTTGAAAGTGGTCCAGTCTACGGTTCTTCCTTTACAAATGCAGCCTCGCCGTTTCTCACCCACAGCACTGCCCTCCCCCTCCCCCAGCTCCTCCATTACCGCCAGCCCAGACCTCAGAAACCAACACAGCTGGAGCTCAGTGGCAGACTGCAGGCAGTGCACAGCAGGCCTCTTCTGGTGAGATCCATGGCTCTCAGCCTAGCCACACTGAGTGCACTGTTACACCAGGGTGCTTCTTGGTTCTTGGTTTCATACTAATGAACTCTTACTTCAGGAACTGAACGTTTTCATTATTTCTTTAAACTGACCAATTTCACAGTGCTGCCCTGTCTTAAGATGCTGATAATTTAACGAGGTTCATAAAGGCTGTCAGATTGCACCCTCTGAGTTGTTACCATGTGTCTCACTGCTGTTGACTGGAATATTTATTTTTATTTTTAGGTGGCTGCTTATGTAATTCTCTAAAACAACTTTCTTATATTTAAAGTAAAATTCTCTTATACTGAAGGACTGCAGGACAATAACAGACTGGTTGTTACTGTTATTACAGGAGTAAAGTCTTTCAACATGGCAAAGCCCAGCCTGAAGAACTGTGACCTGTTTGCTGAAATGAAGACTATTAAGACATTGAAACAGGCTGGGATAACTGCAGTGCTTACTGGACAAATGGTAGGCCCCATTGTCTTCTTAAATTTGATCTTTTTCATTTTGTCTAAACTGCATCTTGTAGAACAAGGCCCATGCGTATCTGTAGCTTCCTGCAAGTCCTCCTTTTTAATAGTTCATCTACCGCACATAAGAGAGTAAACCATGTTGTGCAGAATAGATGAACAGGTGAGCAGGTACCGTAAGTAAGCATGTCAGCAGTTCAATGCAGTTCAATCACTGCCACCCTGCTGTTCACAGAAATCTGAAACCAAGCAGAATGGGATGGTGGCATTGCCCACAGAGGAGGTGTCTCTGGCTGACATTGACTCACTGGTGCCCACCCATGACGAGAAGGGGAGGTCCATTGCGGAGTGGAAACGCCAGGTGATGGTTCGCAAACTGCAGGCACGGTGGCAGGATGAGGAAGATCAGAGGAGGAAGGTACTGCTCTGAGGATGGTATTGGTCCACTCTGTCTAAAAGAGCCTTCCATCGGTGTATGCAGCTTCTCTCTTCATTGAAAGCAGATGATAATAGAGGACTAGTTTGTAGTGGTGGCTATTTTATATGCAAAAATGTTATGTGTGGTTTAATAGCTAGTTTGCTTTTGCTCCTAGCACTTCTTCAAACTGCTTCTTATTAGGGTCACAGTGAATTAGCTGGATGTATAGCATGTACTAGACACTCACTACTCTGTATGAAAGGACAGCTTTTATTTTCAGCCCTAAATGTACTTGAATATATATAAATATAAATAGTTTTTTGGTATTACTTTTCTTGTTAAACTTTTACTACAATAGTTATTTGGATGTACTTTGACAAAACAAGTCAGGTACTTGGATACTGATACAATAGCATAATAAGATCTCTTTTCTGGGCTAAGAATATTGGATTATTTTATAATCCTTCTGTACCTAACATACCTTTCAGATTGGGAATAATTCTGTTCAGTGTTCTTTAATGGCATATACTACAACTTTTGTTTTTGTTTTTAACAGGAAAATGGAAGCAAATACATTCAGATGGATGGCTGGAGGTACTCTCAAGCTCACAATGCAATACTAGGCCCATTTGGTGAGCTGCTGACGGAAGACGATCTCATATATCTGGAGAAGCAGATCGAGAATTTACAGATGAAGAAAAAGTGTCAAGCCTATGAGTCTGAGCTGGGACGCTTAGCCGAAGAGCTCAGAACCATTCTGCCAGCCCCCATCGTCAACATCACAGTTAACACACAGTTCATGCATCAGAATGCAGGGAATGAAGGCCAAGTGCCTCTACCAGTGTGGTGCAACCGAATATCAGGCATTGTAAAGAGCATGTCTCTCCTCCTCACAAACATCAATGAGAAGGAACGGGGTGATTCTGTGGCTACTTCCAAGATGCCCAACACTGATCTTGCGACTGTCTTCTCCCAGAAGCCAGAAAGACAGAATTCAACCAGAGGAATGAGAGATAAGGTTGAGAAGGAGATTCAGCAGTTTGGAGTGTCAGTCCGCAACCTGAGGTCAAACTTTGAGAGGCAAAGCCCAACTAAGGAGAATCCAAGCCCTTACTTTGAAGACAATGAAGGAGACTCTGTGGACAGCAGGCAGGATAGCCTCTTGAGTGAACGGACAGCTTTGGAAGAGGGGGTCCCTGTCTCTGCCTATAGTGACCAACCTGCAGATCAAATCAGTGATTCAGGCATTGGTTCAGAAGAATTAACTGTTGGGGCAAACGTTTCTCCACTCCAGGAATCAACAAGCCTGCGTAAAGAACGTATCGTGGTCTTATTCTTGGGTCACTGGAAAAAGTCGGCCTACACTATGTCTTTGAAAATTAGGGACCTTCAGAGAAAACAGAGTCTGGCAGAGCAGGGAGCAACGGAGCCAACTGATCAGAAAAGCACAGGTGAAGCACCGAAGGAATCTCCTTCCAAGAAGTCAATGGAGAATGGCAACCTGGGCCATTTCTTCAAGCAGAGAAGCGCCATTAACAAAATGATCGGCAACTGGAGAAATATCATCTCTCGTGTCCCTTCACGTCAGATAAGGCGTCTGCATCGCCAGCAAGTGACATACTCCCCTGAGCAGTTCCTGCCTCGGGTGAATGGGGCACCCATTGATTACAACAGCCTGACCCTTGACCTCTTCATGCTCGGCTACTTCCACATCCTTGAACAGGATCTGCCCGCTGACGAGAGGAAAATGAGGCACCTGCTCTGCTTCGAGGTCTTCGACCATTTGGGGAAATTTACATGGGAGACTGTTCGGGAATTCCACAAGGCTGTCATCAAGGACATTGAGGCTGGCAACAGGGAGTGGAAGGACGGCTTTGAAGACATTAAAGCTGAATTCTTCGGGAACTCTCAAAGCCAGCCTGCAGCCATGTCTGACTCTGGGAAGCAGCCCATGGCAGCAGTGAGACCCGTGCCCAAAGTCATTGTTCAGACTGCCACACCAGATGAAGAAGAGGACTTGGTGAGGAAGGGTGGCACAGATATATCCAGCTTCAGCAACGATGATATTTGCAAATACATTGACCGTAGTTTTGCTTTCTGGAAAGAGAAAGAGGCTGAGATTTTTGATTTTGAGGAATAGTTGCCTGGAGACTGTGATATTTTTTATATTTTTATATATATATTACTTATCAGTTTGAAGGTCTGTATGTGCCTTTTCTGCCTTTTGAGCCTTGCTGTGGAGGACTGTGTAAAAAGTAAGACAAAGAGTTTGAAAACATGTTCCTTATTAGTGTGTGTGGCTTTGCATTATCTTTTCAGAGAACATTTGAGGGCAGTGGATGCACTGATACACTTTTCTAATAAAACAGTTTCAACAGTATTTATCTAATATCACTTTCTGTTTCCATTCTGGAATCATAGGTCAGTTTAATATATATTATGTTGAATGTACCTGATGTATAAAAACCATATCGGATTTATTTCTAAAACAATTTCAGTACAAATTCCTGTTAGTGCTTTACCAATACTAAATATGACTCATTAAAATAAATTGTAAAACCATTGGGAAAGGTTAGGAAAACAAATTTAATGCATGGAGAAAATACTGTAAAGGAAATGTAATTGCCTTTTGCGTAATGATGCTAATTTGTTGCAATAAACTTTTTTATAAGGGAAATTTTGTTAAAATGTCACGGCTTGTTATTAGTTTTTCCTCATTTTAACCCTTTCCTCTGCACAGAATAAAGTTTTAAAAGATGTCAAACACAGCTTGTCAGTAAACACGTCTGCTACTATAGTCCTTGTATTTAGTAATAATCCAGTTACTGAAGTCCAAGAAGTCCAATAACTACTTTGTATTTTTTGACAGCCTATTTATTTTTCTGAAACCACCAGGGCATTTGTTACAGAAACACCATCTTCTGTCTATAGAGAAAAATCATTGAATAGTAATAACACGAGTATCTGCATATAACAAGTATATTATTGATACTTAAAAATGCTCATATATTCTTTTGCTTTGCTTCTGTGTAAAGTTATATGTGTTGATGAAGAGACAGTAAGCTAAGACTCTTCAACTCATTCTAAAAGTTGTCTGTTCTTTAAAAATAATAAGTTCCTTCTGCGAAAAGAGGGTAATCAGGAAAGTTTTCTTGTGCACATGCTGCTTTAAGAGCAGGTGTTCAGCTGCTCCCCAGCGGGAAGCTGACGTTAGTCCCAAGTCCCTGAAGAAACTAAAAATAGCAGAGAGAGAAAGACAAGCGGACTGTGTCGAAATGACTCTGCACAAGCTTACGAGATGGTGCCACCCTCAAGTTCTACCAACAATTTGCTTGTCCTCCAAATCACTTACTCAAGATGTAAAGTTGCCTCCATTCATCTCTCAGGTACGCTTGAAATCTGTGAAGTGTTATTAGTCCTGATCCTGTGCAGCCTTTAACCTTAACTGGTATGGCCTTCTATACCAGCTTAACAGCTTGCTTTGTTTCTTTTATATTGAGCTTCAAGTCGTTATTTTATTGAAAGACAAGCCTATGAGCTCCTAAGATAAATGCATAGGTGGCATTTGAGATTGTAATGTACAACTTGCTTCTTCAATCTAATCTTCCTGCTAAAGGGAAAATCAGTATTTCTTTAATATTTAAGAAAACATTTCCAAATGAGACAATAGAACTTCAACAGAAGCAGACAACAGAACTGTCCGAAAATTGTACCTTAAAATATACTTCTTCTAAATAATATCTATTCTAATTTAAACTTTACTGAACACATTTATTAGAACCACAGTCGTAAGAAAGTGGATATGTTCTAGTGAACTAAAAACAACAACCAAAGATGCCAGTATTTCTGCCATAGCAGTAGTTACCTCTATTAAAAAGGTATATATTCTTATGTTCTCTTTGATATACTGTGGCCATGAAAAATAGTATTATACCCAAATTATTTATATGAACATCGTTTGCTCTCTGTATTACAGTTTGCCTGTTTTAGTGAATCAGTGATTTTATTTAAATATTGTTTGCATGTCATAATAGATACAATAGGTTTTGAAAATTGTTTTAAATGACTTGATTAAAAACGTGATTAAAATCACAAAACTAACAACTATTTTCATGATGTTAATCTGGAAAAATACTCAATCCACAGAAAGTGCATAGTGAGAGACTTTTGAAAGTTGTTTTTGAATCCTTTATGATTTGGAATGTCTCCATAGAATCAGAGGTCATTAATGACTTCAATCATTTCTCTTTCTTATTAATAGATAATTCAAAGTTATGATTTCCTCTTTATTTCTGATACATTTCTGATAAATTCCATATCCTTACACATATTCAAAGGAGATTTTATTGGTATACAAATTAGTTGCCATACCATTTGCCTATTCATTTGGTCTGTGAATATTTAACTGTGATTTTGACCCATATGGATTCTGAAAAATTCATACCTGGATCCAGTGCATCTATAACAAAACTATTTTTAGTTTGCAGTGCTACTGCATGGCCACGTTTTCTGTTGCAGTTTCAGTGACAGGAGGTATTGTATAAATTCTTTCAGGAAGCTATATTCACTTAGTTACAATGTCTCCACATGATAAGTGTTGAATTGTATAACTAGTCTACTATAATAAATGTTTTTATGTCCTATTGAAGGCCCTAGGTTCCCAAAAATAAACAGCACTTACATTTTTTGATTAGTTTTTGTTTTCACTGACTTTATTCCCGGACAGCACCTCAGCAACTTTGGCTGTGCGTTCGTCTGTCTTGTTTTGGAATTTCATAACCAGAAATGCAGCTGGAATTAAATTATGGCCTGACGGATTAACTGTTGTTTCGTTTTGTTTTTTCCTTCTGCTACCTCAGAATCTTTTTAACAAGCTTTGGCGGTAGTCGCTGGTCACAGAGAAGGAAGCCATGGTGCGCAATGTGGACGACCTGGACTTTTGCCTTTCCTCACATCCACAGAGCATCCTGGATGGACTGCGCTCACTGTGCTCCCACCCCAAGCTCTTTGACGTGACGCTGAGCGCTGGGGGGCGCGAGTTCCCCTGTCACCGCAGCGTCCTGGCCCTCTGCAGCCTCTACTTCCGAACCATGTTCTCGGGCAACTTTGTGGAGAGCATTGCCGCCCGTGTGGAGCTGCACGACGTTGACCCTGACGTCCTGGCCACCCTCCTTGACTTCGCATACACGGGAAAGCTCACCATCAACCAGGGCAACGTGGAGGGCCTTATCCGCACCTCTAGCCAGTTGCAGTTTGGGGCAGTCCGTGCCGTCTGCAGCCGTTACCTCCAGCACCAGATTGATGCCACCAACTGCCTAGGTATCCTGGAATTTGGGGAGACACATGGCTGCCCGGAGGTAGTGGCCAAAGCCAGTGGGTTCCTCGTGGAGAACTTTGAGGCCGTGGCCCAGGAAGAAGAATTCCTGCTGCTGAAGATGGAGAGGCTGGTGAGCTGCCTCTCGGAGGACAGGCTCCAGATAAGGGATGAGCGCAGTCGGGTGGAGGCAGCCCTCAGCTGGGTAAGGAAAGACGAGGCCACTCGCCTCCCCCACCTCCCAGAGCTGCTGAGACTGGCCCGGCTGTCTCTCCTGCCCCGGGAATACCTGACTGACATCCTCCTGAAGGACAGCCTCGTCCAGCAGTGTCAAAGTTGCAGGGAGGCTGTGGAAAAGATCCACAGAGAGGTCAGTACAAGGCACAGGGATTAAAGGTTTAATTTCTACAGCTCTCTTTTTGGTGTAAGGCCATGCTCTTTCTAATGATTGATTCTTTTCCCCTATTTTTTACGTACTTTAAATTATTTGGTACTGTGAAAGTAAATTTATTTTACTTTTATATTCATAAATATCTTAAAGTGAGCAAAGGAGACATTTTATTCTCCCATATTTTTACTTACAGGCAGTTTAGGTAAGCATTTCAGTGCTGATACTGTTTGTCTTTGTAATTTATGTACAAAAATTCCAACCCATGTGAAAGTGCCTTTTATTTTGATGTTTTTATAAGTTGGAGATGGGTCCAGGAGACGTACCGCATGGTAAACCCCACAATCCCCAGCCCAACCTGCAGGAGGTGCTCTTTGTGATAGGGGGGCGATCTCTGGATGACTCAGATGATGAGGATGAGGAGGAACAGGTGGAAGGGAGAGTAATGAGGCCTGCGCACAGGAACACAGCCTTCTATAACACAAAAACCAGTGAGTGCCCAGGTTCAGTTCCGATTAATCTACCAGTTAAAGGAATTCCTTGCTGACTCCCATTGTAACCAGACCATTTAAACATGAAACACACCTCACAGCCCTTATTTTGGATTAAGGTTCTTACTATTCCAAGTCACCGGACCACGTAAAACCACAATATTGTCATAAATGTTTTTGGAAGAAAAAATTCTCGCATGACATTTTGCTTAGCTTTCCCAAATAACAGAATGGGCAATTTTTGGTTTCTATTTGGGGGGAAAAAAGCCATTTACCTTTGTTGTAGCAGTTTAATATGTATTTCATCTTTTGCAGACTTTCTTGGGTGAATATTTTTCCTTGACATTGTGCAGAAATCTGAATACTACATCCATTGATTTGTAGTGGTGTTGCAGCACTTGTTTGTGACAGTCTTCTATACAACACAAACTGCAATAGGAAATGAAACTGGGAATGATGAGTGATAATAGGGGTTAATGCACAGACTCACTGCATTCTCTGTATATCACTTTCATTTTTTTAAATACTTTTGTGAATATTGAAAGCTCACTGAAGCAGTGTTTACAGGGACACAGTAGGGACGGAGTAAAGGCTTTGTAATTGACCATTCCCACATAAGGTGGCCAACAAGTTCCTAAGCAGTGCTTTGAGAAAGCTTGATAGTGAGTGAGTGGGAGCTATTGTTAGGTATCACATGAAGCTGTTGAGCTTGGCAGCTTGAAGTAATTTTCTGACTATTTCTATTTCTGTCTGACAGGCCAGTGGACTCTGCTCCCTGACTTCCCAGACTACAACAAGTGGGGTTTTTCTGTGGTCTCCTTGAACAATGATGTGTACGTCACAGGTGGGTTGCACCTAAAGTAAATCCCTGGCATTAGTAACTTTAGAGGACTTAAAAGTAAAACCATCATCATCTCATATATTACAATTTAAAAAAAAACATAATTCCAAGTTCTATAAATATAGTTTAACTAAAGCAGTGCCCACATTTGGAAAGATGTCGCCTTCTTTGTGCTTATTCTGCAAGAATGTGAAGTGAATGATAAATGAGTGCATGTGCTTTTCACTTACAGCCAAGGATCTGAAGGGGCTTAAAGAGACTCCCCCAATGAACTAACAATACCAGTCTGAATGTCATGAACTCCTGGACTGGAATGTGACCAGTATTCAGTCCCCATGCACATAGCAAACAACAATTCAGAGATAGGAACCGCTAGAATAAAAAATAAAAATATCAGCTTCTAGCTACAACTGTGAAGGACGTCTGTTGATGTTCAGCTCTGATAGTCGCTTCTGTTCAGGTAATTGTGATAGTAGTTGGCAAAAGCCCAACTGACATTGTTAATTATCCCTTCAGGAGGCTCCAGGGGCTCTCGTACCAACACATGGTCGACCACCCACACCTGGAAGTACATCACGCGGGAGGGGAAGTGGGTGATGACTGCTCCCATGCTGAGGCCCAGGACCAATCATGCCTCAGCTGCACTGAATGGAGAGATATATGTCATTGGAGGTAACAAGGAGAGAAAGAAACATAGATCTGAGGCCCCATAGGAGATTGAGACAGATTGGGAGTGTCTCTGATACCATGTGCCTATCTCAGGATCTGTGTTAGGGTTAGTATTTGGGAAGGATACTGCTGAAAGATATGAAGGTGATAATTTGCTCTCTTCCAGTAGTAACAAAACAATTGAAACAATGTTATTAAACGGTTCTGCATGGAAATCTTCAATGATTCTTATTTATTTAGTTGTTTTTTTTTTTGGTGGGAGAGATGCAACAGACATGACCTCTTCAGTTTATCCATCAATGCAAAGATGTGTGAAGTATATTCTTGGGAAAATGTCCTGTCTTGAATTCTTGTCTAGCAGAATTATCATCACAAGGAAAATCAAATTGGTTAGAGATTTCAAGTAAAGTATGCAGGTCAGGGAAGTGGAACTAGGAGACAAGAGAGTCCAGGGTTTGAGATTGCTAGAACAGATGTCACTGGTCCGGGATTCTAAAAAGAAACCTAAGTGTCCTGCTCTGTTGAAACAACAACCCTTTTTTTCAGGCACTAGTATGGATTTTGTGGAGGTGGAACACTATGATCCTTATAGTGACAGCTGGGCTCTCACTGGGCCCACTTTGAAATACGTCACTAACTTCACTGCCACTGGCTGTCTGGGCAAGCTGTACGTCATTGGCTCTTGCGCAGTCAAATACAACGCTCTCACTCTTCAGTGCTACAATCCTGTAACAGGTAAGTAATTGTCAAAGCTATTTGATCTCCTTCTGTGTGGTCCTTCTTTGCCACTTCTGCACAAATATACACAGTGTCCTTAGGAAGCCGTAAGGGCAGAGTATCTCTTCACTTATAAACCTTCATGGCCAAGAGCAATGGTGGATTGGACCTACAGTATGAAAAGCACAAATCCATGATCTGTCATTCCCATTATTTACTTTAGTCTTGTCAAAGAAGTGTTATGACACCAGCCTTACCTACAGTGTTTTAGTGATCCTGTCATGCCCAGTACACCTAGAGGGCACTCTACTTCTCTTCTGTTCCTAGTTCCCTGTGATTATTCATGTCTTTCTGGTGTGTCTTGTTTTGTAGCCTATTTACTTCCTGCTTCTGCTCTGCTCCTTGCTCAGCATTGTGGTTCGAATGTCCTGAAACCCGCCTAGCACCAGGTCGCCCCACGTCCGTGGCCTGAGGGAATAGGTTTCTATACGGCATTTCCTGAACAGCTGAGCCCGGGCTAACCCCTGTCTCACCGCTACGCATAGGGTCTTTTTCCACTTTCCTGCCACTCCACGGTTCGTCCCTTCAGACATCCGTGACAGACCCTGCTTGGGTGTCCTTCAGTTTGCTGACTTTTGTCCCATTCTCTCTGACAGATGGATGGAGTATCATTGCCTCTCCCTTCATCCCCAAATACTTGTCAGCCCCTCGCTCTGTCTCTGTGGACGGAGTCATTTACCTGATAGGGGACAACACCAAAAAGATGTACACATATGACCCTGAGGCCAACATGTGGCAGAAGGTGAGGACTGTTCAATTCAAAGAAGAGGACCACCTTTGCAGATTTGAACTGTTCCATTTCTAAGCTATGCTGAAAAGAAAAGAGACACAGCATTTTGGCTGTGGAGCCTTCTGACACCTGAAGAAAGCTCCACAGCCAAAACGTTGTCACCCTTTTCTTCTTTTCAGGATGGAATAAGCCTTTACTTGTTCCTTTGCAGCCTATGCATGCTGACATGAACCATTTCTAAGCTATAGAACCAAACAAGCTGTTCCTGCTTCTTCTTTTGCTAACAGCTTATTGTTTTTACAGAAACCTAGAGTGCTGTACATCTTAACTCTTGGTAAAGGAGTGCTTCATATTCTCAATTCGTAATATACTTGTAAATACTTCTGAATTTATCTTATGTGATCCTCTCTAATCCATTGGTATTGAAGGTTGAAACCTTTACTTTCATTTTTTGCACTTAAGAACCGCAAATGAAACTTAAGAAAATAATACGGGTGACAGCAACAATGAAACCAAAGGGAAGAGAAAGAAAGGCTCTCTGTAGCCTCGTCTGCTTGTATACATCTTTCTTTCCGAATCTGTCTCTGTTTCCCTTTCTTTTTTTCTCCATTTAACTCAACAGTGCTGTTGTTCTTTCTGGCTCTGCAGGGTGGTGAATCTTTCCTCTCTTCCACACACGTGAAATGGTGTTTCCCTTCTCTCTTGCTCTCTGTTTTGGCTCCCAGGTCCAGCTTCTTCACACCCTCCACGAGAATGGCAGCCTGGTGGTGCTGGGCGGACAGCTGTATGTGACAGGTGGGCACTGGAAAGGAATGGAGGGGGAGTATCGGGTGGAGATGGAGGTATACAACTGTGCCTCCAACGCCTGGCATGTGGAGAGCTTCCTGCCCAGGCTCTGGTTCTACAGTGGCTCCTGCGCCATCTTTCTAGACCCCTCTCCATGGACAGAGCCTTTTCCAGCTGATGAGACCTAGAGGATGAGCTCATCTTTGGCAAGAACCTGCGCCAGAATCCGTGCTGAGCGATGCTGTGGTTGTATCACATTTGTCGATTCCACCATTTATTTTGTGAGATTATAAACATTTTGCTTGCATTAAAGGGACAACACCTAATGGATTATTTAGAACCTTATTGTTTGGTTTCCATTTTGATTTCTAGACATCTAGAGCAGACATATCGAATGTTTTTTAGCATGCAGAACTTCTGTTTTATCCTTGAATCCTGATATTATTGTATTATTGGTATTGTTATTGAATAACCAACATTTAAAATAAACTAGGGCTATTTCCGGAAGGGCTGAGGAAGATTTTTTTTTTTAGGATTTTAGTATTACTGACGGTTTTCTACTGCTTTTATGAACTCCAAATTGAAATAAATCTCACAGACTGGAACTCGTGTTTTGACTGATGAATGTCAGAGAATAGACGTCAAATACAGTATCTAGGAGCCTTGTGTGAGAACAAGTATTTTTTTACAGGCTATAAGAAATAGGAAATGAAATGGAATCAATAAGAAAAGGAAAGATTAAAAAAGATTTTCAATACGTACACTAGGTTAGATACAGCAGTAAAAACGCCTCCCATTAGTAATAATGGTATTCAGAAATAAAAACGTTAGTGACACTGTAACACATTTTCATTTAAAAAAAAGATTTGTCAGTCTAGTTCTGAAATAGTTCTATACAAGCTGAAAGGATATTGCTTGCACGTAGAAGGCTAAGGTTTTTCTGCATTCCTCACCGCATTCCTGAATTAAAAGAACAGATCACCTGGAGGTATAATACTCTTATGCAGTATAAGCTGACACTCTGCCAAAATAAACAATGGATCTGAGAGGAAAGGAAACCAGTGGATTTCCTAACATGCGATGTAGAGGGATAGCACTGTCGATTTCTCCTTTATTAATGGATTATAAAGGGATGCTGCCAGAAATGAAAGCACGACTCCCGCTGTATATTCTTGTTATCCCGCCGCCCCTGTCCTGCCAAACGCGAATACTGATGACCATTATGGACAATCACACGCCCGGGGTTCGCAGCAACTCGTTTTTTTTAAAGTTGCCCAGTCGAGTGAGTTTCCTGTTGCGTCCTTTTGCTATGGAAACTATCCGGCTGGCGTTCTATTTCTATGACAACGATCGGGAGAAAGCGTCGAGCTTCCTCAGCAACCAACGCTGAGACCTGCCTCGCGCACTGCACTTGCATGTTTGAAGTTAAAAGCCCAGGTAGCAGATTCTGGTGAAAATCAATTCGACCCTAGAATGAATCTTTTTTTGTAAAAAACGTTGCAGGAAACTTTATCGTAAGGCATCCTTTTTTTTCCCCCTCTTCATAAGAAAAAAAAACTTTATTGTCATCCTGCTTAGCCATACACTTTGTTACTTCTGAAACAGGAGAACAGTAGCATTTACGTACCTAACAACCGCCTTTTGCTCAAGAAGTACTAATCCTTCGGGTGTGCATCTTCCAATGAGTTCAGAAGCCGAGCAAAGCATGCAAGCAGAGGGACTGGAGGCTGTCATTCAGGTAGGGGACTCGGCGTTTATAAACTGGGGGTGGCAAGAAACTGATTTTGATTTGTGCCAAAACGGTGAGATCATTTCTTCCAATTTGGGAAAGTAGCTGTGTCTATCCCAGATTGGAGGTCGTCGTCATTCTAATTAGCTGCCGAAGCCTTAGTTTTTGCTCGAAGAATGAGATTGTTTTGTTCTGGAGGGGACGCTGTCCGTTCCTCCTCCACTGTAGTTAGATCGGGACAATCGCAACCGTGGAGGACAGGGTTTACGAAAACTGCACTGTTTGCAAACGCAGTATTTTCCTCTACAAAACTGCAATGAAGTGCAAAGGACAAAGGACAGGAACACTTATTACACATGATACCACACTATGATATAAGGACTGGTGCAGCCAGGACAGGAGATTCCCTGAATGTGGGTGTAGTACTTGAGAACACGTGGGGAAGCAGATTTAAAATACCTTATTAAACAGCTACGAAAGGGGAGAAACTCAATGTACAAGCATGCATCTTTTAGTACCCAGATTCTATGCGTTGGGCACGGACTTCTGTTGGCACTTCAAGGTAAAACCCACGTCCAACGCTGTTACCCAATTTTCCCAAACAAAATGTCCACTTTAAAGGACTTCAGAGATGAGCTCTCTGTAGCCATTGGAGTGTGGCGCGCAGCTCTGAAGGGCCATTGGACAGTATCAAAAGAAATCCCCCGTGTTTCGCTGCGAGAGGTCCTCTCAGAGGTCTGAGTTGACGGAACGGTAAAATGGAGCGCGTTTGATGCACGGCGCTCCTCTGGCTGTGTCACCGCAGAAGCTGGAGGAGTCGGTGCTGAACCCTGACACCAGCGGGGATGAGAGGAGCTTGACCCTGCGGGGCCACGGGAGGGACAGTCCGGCCACCCCAGTCGCAGCTCGCATCCGTCAGATCGTCACCCGCAACTTGGCTGACCAGCCGGCAGCAGGTACGGTACCTTCTCTCTCTCCAAAGCCCGTTCCTCAACGCGCCACGGCACTATAGGTAAATGGGACACTACAGAAACTCGCTGTAAATCATCATCCCACAATCCTCCTTTCTGCATTCCACTGTTCCGTTCCACACGTTCCATCACTTTAGAACATCGATCTCCAGAGCTCGAGAACAGAACCATCCTTTAGAACTGAATTGTTTTTTTTTTCTGTGTGTGGTTTAAAAATGTGTCACAGTAGAAACCCCTTTCAGTTACTACTGTGTACAGTGTGCGGTTTGAAGTGGAAAAATAGGAAAACTTATTATAAATAATCCAAGAATAAATTAACAACAGAACACGGACATTTTAAGTAACTTTATAAATTCCCGGAAGCACTGAACTGGAACAGATTTGGCGTTTGACTAATGTAATGTCAAAAGACTGTCTCAAACATTCCACCAATATCATTCTGTGAAGTGTCCCTGAATTGAAAAGTAACTCAATTCAATTTAAAATCAAAGCTATATCAAGTTATTTTCCCATAGCTAAACTCTGGCATAGACTACATAGCTCTACATACCCCCCGAACATCCTGTGGACAAACGTAGAGTTTTACCACCTTTGGCCTAGCAGGTCCGTAATCTGAAGTGCTCTCTGCGCTTTGGAGTCAGGAAAAAAGATTGCTTGAATGAGTCGGAATTTCTCAACGAACACCTTTGACGGACTATGGTTCTGAAGTGCACAATGTCAAGAGAAAGATAGCGGAAACAAATAACAACTTAAAAAAAACAATTAAAAAATAAACGCAAAAAACACAAACAAGAATAACAAAACAAAAAAATGAAACGCAAACAAAAACGTAGTCTCTTTCTAGTTTAGCTCCAATTGCTTTATAGTTCCTATAGTCAGAAAATAATATCACTTGAACCCGGGCGAGTTCGTCACGGTACCGTGTGTCTTCACGCCTTGTCGGGGTTCAAGTGCTCAGAAAACTTGGAATAGGACGAGTGGAGGATTGTGGATTTTTTTAATGATTTGTCGGCCTTTCTCCTTTTCCACCAGCAGAGGGTAGAATTGCTTGACACACGATAAAGAGTCGCTTTGTCGTGGAAATGCGTACAAATGGTTATGGATTAACTGCAAACTTGTTCTTATTGTTAAAAAGGACTAAACAAGTAAAACCATAATGTAATAATGTAATTTCCAAAGGAACTTGCTTAAAAATGTAGCATTGATTTGTATATGCATTGTGGAGTATTCACAGGTATTCGAGTCAAAGATTATTAAGTTATGCATAGGAGGAAATCTATTTCCTTAGCAGTATTTGGTATAGTTCAGTTTGATTTTTTCTTCTCTTGGGTGTTTATGTTTTTTTTTGGGGGGGGGGGATATATCCATAAATCAAATCAAAGATGACGTTTAATTTTAAAAAATGCGTAATTGCAGCATTGAGAACCACAATTAAGGAATTTCGGCTTTGAGTGTTTTGTAAAGTTTTGGGCAAGGTGAGGGAGGGAGAGACTTTATCGGCTCGAGACAAGTTGTGTCCAGTAGGTGCGTCACAGTGGTGTCTTCAGCCCATTGTAAAACAATGAAGGGAGCACAAGACAGTCAGATCATGTTGATGGGCGGTACAGAAGTGAGCACTGCTACCTCTTTGCTGGATAGTCTTGGGTTCGATTTTGACCTCAGACACTCATTGTCCCAGCTTGTAGTCTTTGTTCCCAAACTAGGCTCTGGCTTTCCATTACCCTTAGTGAAAGGGATGGATGGATTGGTAATGAAGGTGCTAATGACGATCGTTGATATGGATACATTGATGTAGATGATCTTACTCAATGCATTATTGATTATCTTCTCGAAATGATCATTTCATGAAAAAGGGGGCTGCTGGGGGCAGAGATGAAAACTAGACACCCCGGCAGCCCTCTGTGAGCTCAGATCTAATGGAGCAGGGGGCAGGACTCGAAGGCAAGCTCGGGACTCCTGCAAGGCACGGCCGTGTCTGTCTCTCTTCCAGGCAGTCCGGAAGTGGGCGCCAGCAGCTCCCTCCAGGAAGAGAACAGGCTGCTGAAGGATCTGTTGTCCCAGACGCGCGCTGACCGGGACAGCCTACTGCTCAAGCAACAAGTCCTCACAGACAGGGTATGGGCCTCCATCACACCAGCACTTCCACTTCAGGCTAAACTGACTTAAAGAAAGGAGAGGGTCACGGTTAACGACGCCTCGATAAATTGCAAGCACAAAACTTGAACTCTGAACACCAAGAGAGAGAGGGGACGAAAATACTTTTGAATGAACTTTTTTTCTCACATGTTCATGAAGGAAAAAACTGACAATATGCCACAGGTCAGCTAAGGAGAAAGTTATACGTTTCATGGTTTTAGCATGAAATGGTCGGCTGTGTTATAGTTACTAGAAGTATTTCAGATGAACAAATCTTTAAGGCCTGACAGTATTCAGTCACTTGTACTTAAGAGATGTTATTCATAGGCCCCTAGCAAAACACAACACAGGAGTTTTCCTAATTGCATGGAAAATTGCTAATGTAGCAAAAAAGTCTTAAAAATGTTGACAAAACTGGACTAAGTACTTATAGACCAATAAGCCTTAAGTCTATTGCATGCATGATTATAGAAATAATAATAAGAACTAAACGAGAGGACTGTCTATGTGACAGTTGGATTTATGGGATAAGCAACATGCATATAGCATGGGCAAGTCTTAACTAATTCAGAGTTCTTGAGTAAGCAGCAGCAGTAATGGGCACAAGCCACACCACACAGGTCATATGTTATGTTTAGATTTCCAGAAAGTGCTTAATAAATTACCTCATCATTAATGCTCAAAATTCAGCCGACAAGTAATAATAAGGGGTGCATGTTCAAACTGGGGTGATTCAGTTATTGGAGTACCACAGGTTTCTGTATTAGGATCACTGCTCTTTCTGATTTACAGCAGTGTTTATATCTGGTTGCTGAATTTAGCCTGAGTGACTGTTAACTGGTAGCTGCGTCTGCGTAATTTGCAGATGAAAATAGCACAGGGTTGTTTTTGCTTTACTGTGCCTCTGCTTTCTTAAAAGGTCAATGATGCAGATGTCAGGAATATTGGATATACTAGCGCAGGATAAAGTAACCCCTGGTGACCTGGTGAAGACCCATCAGCATTTCCAGAGCTGAACTAAGCAGGGCTTCCCTGTCAAGTGCATAGTTTTGTGTTTCTAGTGTGTGGAAGCTCAGAACCTCCATTGGTGTTGCACCAGGCACCTGATGGCTTAACACTGCTATATTCAATGAGTATGAATGAACCTTGTCTTTAGATATTACCCCACTGAGAATAAGATCTGTGTATGGCTCTATCTACAGTAGGAATGGAAGAACTTTCAAATTCTATAACCATTAATAGAAAAAATAACTCATAAAACTTCAGTTGAGGTATTTTGTTTTGCTCCAAATAGCGGCTAACCTCTGGCTGTGACTAGCGGTTAACTTATCTGGTTGCACAGTGTTCGCTAAAAAAGGACCTGAGCGTTAAAACTGGCTAAACCTTTTCGGGAGCGCAGTCTTTGAAAAACAGCCAGCAGGATTTTGTGTGAGATGAAAGCAAATTACCGGAAAGTTGGTCAATATACGTTTTCGTGAGAAGAAAACTGCACAAACGATCTCCTTGTGGTCCCTTCAGCCCACATCAATTCCACACCCCTCCCTCTCCAGCTTCACCTTTCATGGGGTCCCCCCCTCCACAGCTAGCGGTTGCTGTTTTTGGGGAAAATTAGTAGGTCAGCGGCCTGCTCTCCAGAGGTTCCAGAAGAAAAGGCCCATTTTTCATCTTATACAAAGCCGTCGTTTGTGATAACACTGCTCTCTTTCTGTGACTCAAGACTAATGAACTCCTCTAGCCTGGTTTACTACTGGAATTTATTTAAAATCACAACTATAAATAAAACTTAATTAGGGTGATATATTTAGTACATTTATTTATTTTGTAAATATTTTGAAGGAGTTAGCGGTCTCTACGATTAAAAAGCGAACAAGTGCACCAAAATAAACTCTTCAAGATCCTCTGTGTTGTGAGGCAGCTGTGACTTTAAAAAGCCGCATAAAAACAAAGTGTAAGTAGCCAAATCAACTGGCCAACCTAATTTTTTTCTGTTTGCAAAAGGTTGACAGTTCGCAGTTTGAAAATGTCTTCAATTTTAAGATAATAAATAGAAATGACTTAACAATGATAAATTAAACTCTTAAGTGAAAAAAAATGTGGTAGAACTAGAAGACCTTACTATTAGACCACACTTGAGCTGCTCTTTGATGGCATCCAGATCCAATGAGCTTCCCTGATTCTCTTTTCTCCCGGTCTGCTACAAATTATTTTCTGGTTATCTCTTTTGGCAAACAGATACTTTATTTTGCTATTGTTGACTCACGCTCATAACTGATATTTTGGAGCAACATATCATTATGGCTGTCTTCAGTTTGCACACATTGCATCTTGCATTAATCCCCACAGAGTGTCCTAATGGACTGAGGAGACTTTAAAAGAATTGGATTAGTTTCAGTAAATCAGTTTGTTCCTGTTGACTGGTTGTTCCTGCAGAAGAACTGAAGTCTTTGCACCAGATGTTGAAATAAATTCTCTCTGGAGTTTCTTGAATTTGTTCTCCTTCCTGACTTAGCAATGTTTTGAACAGAGAGCACTGGTCTGTATGGTGTTTTCAACTCTCATGCAGTTTCAGCGGAATCACTTTGGTAATATGAAGTTTCAGAGTTTAGTGAAGAATTGGCATAACATTCTGTGGATAATTGTGTGGAAACTATAGGTGGACAGTAGGTAAAAGATACACATCTACATCTATACAATAGATATAATCTCCTCCAGGTTTAAAATTTTCTCCATGAAGTTACTGTGACTCCATGTGACCCATGGAAATTGCCCATGAACCCAGGCGAACTCTGACTTAGTTTGCAAAGCTGGATTGTCTCAGGAGATTAGAGAGCAAGTCAGTGTGAACTCTGACCTTTTTGTTGATTTTGGAATATGACCAGCTTGCAGTTTTCTCAGGCAGTGTGGGTGTGCGTGTATACATTGCACAGCTTCAGATCAGCACGAGGACAAGACGGGGCATTAGAAAGAAGCTTAAAATATTCAGTATGTAAGAAGTTTAAGTGTGTAAGAAATAATGAAGATAAAATCATCATTCCCACAGGAACACGATCCATGTGTTATACATCACTTGTTTCTAAATACTGGCCTCAAAAAGCATCATTTCAGTTAAGAGAAATTATTCGGCATAATGAATATGCATGATACATGAAGAATCCAGGTTCAGTATGTTTTGTTATTTATGACAAATATTTGCTGCAAACAAAAGGCTCTGCAGAAACTTGGTAGTCATGCAAGGTAACTTATTGTATGTGTGTATACTATTGTAATGTGCATTTCTTTGAGATTTTTAGACAGGTTTCTAGATGTTATCACTGAAGATGATCTGCTCTTCTGCTAAGGGTATGAAATGAAACACTTATTAATACTTGAAACGCAATGTTATTTTTATTCTTTCCTTCTAAATATCTGTGACGAGTGCAAACAGTGCTTGTTGTAAAGAACCAGCTATGCATCATACTAGGTGCAACTGAAGTTAGTGAATCATATTGGATGCGAGTCTCCCAGATGCTCTTTGCTTTATAGAGACACATTGAGGTCTTAATGTGGTTAGCCACATCTCTTGTCCTCCTGGATTTCTTATTGTTATTCATTCAATGGTTATTATTAACCATTCTCTGGTTACCTTAGTCTACTTGTTTCCTGCTATTCATACAACCTGGTCACCTGTCTCCTCTGCTCATATTTATCATTTTAACTATGACCAAAGCTATCTGTCTTTAAGAGTGTTAGCAATCATACACATGCATTTTGCCATAACTCTTTGTGCGGTAGCAGGCTTTCAGATTGTAAGTGTACCTGGACTCAGTTTGCAAAAGCTTTCAGAGAAGGTGATGTGATCCTATTGAAACCAAGACAGTAGTATTCCCCCAGGGAAGGATTCCTGGGCCTGTGATGTAGTGTCGTTCACCGCTGTCTAGGGAGTGGCTCTGTGCGTTGCACGAGAGACAGTGATTAAATCCTGGCAGGTGTACTGTTATACCCAAGCCTGAGAAAGACAAGTGCTTTCTACCCTGATTCTCTCTTAACGACTTGTCATATGCCCTTTAAATATGTGTTTTACACAGGTATGAAGGCAGGTTTTCCACACCCCTCTGTCTCTGCGTTCAAACGTGCGCTCAAACACTTGTTTTTTCAACTTTTCGGTCTATTCACCCATATAGACATCCGAGACTAACCTTCAGGGTTGAGTCCGCTTTTGACAAAACACGTACTCTGGTGAGGGTCACGGCAGTTTGAAGCCAATCCCAGAAGCACAATGCACGAGGTGGGACTGAGAGCGCTCAACTGCTTTCACCCTAGGCTGGAGGACGGTGTATTGTGAGGACACAAAGAAAGGAACAATTTGGAATACAAAATCAAACTTCTTCAGGAGGTGGGAAGAAGCTGGAATACCTAGCAGAAATCTAAATTAACACAGGGAGAACAGAAAAATTCCGTACAGGCAGAAATTAAACCTAGGTTTCTGGGACTGCCAGCGGGAGAACTAAATGCCATACCAGTGTGCTGCTCTGTCCCCCTAAAATAAGTCCTTTCTGCATGCTTTCTGTACCCTGTCACTCAATTTTCTTCGATTAAGGGTCATGTAAGTGCCATGTATTGGGATCAAACAAATAATATCAGTTTGACTCTCTTTGTATATGCACAAGGTAAATATATAAAAGGTACACATGCCAAAAAAGGGATATGATAGATGCCACTAAAAATGTTTTGGACTGAATGGAAGAATGAAAAGAAAATGAATTTGTGAATGATCTGTCTGCCTCCCCATACCATTTACAGCGCAAACATACACTGGCAATGATCACCTCACAATCCAGCTTGTTGGAAAAAACATCAGTCATTGGACTGTAAAAAAGAAATGTCACTTAAGTCACAGTAACAGACAGCTCACCTCTCTGCAGTCTACTATTGGAGAGGTTCCCCTCTCAAAACTGTGGTTAGGTGTACTCTATGAGAAGCTTATCACCCTTTGACTTCTGCTAACAACTACATATTGTCAAGTAAACAATAAAATCTGCTAAATACCGTTTAGAATTAAGTCTAATATTTTTTTTTAACTTAATTACTAGATCAACTGCAGTAATGGACAGGAACCTCCAAGATGTCACTTTCTCTTTGTGACCCAGAGATGAAGGAACTGTCTTCTCAGTGTGTCACAGCGCGGGTGCATGATCCTTGTTGTAGCCTCAGACATTGCAGTGGAAAAAATACAGAGAGTATTTCTGCAGGGGAGAACAAAACAAACAAATGCATCGCTCAGAGCTCTTCTTCAGCATCATTTTCTCAGCCCACACTGTGTAAGCAGCCTATATAAACAGTTTTAAGAGTCAGCTGGAGTTGCTTAGCTCTTGAAGCCAGCACCAGTGGGAGGTGGGGGTTGAAGCTATGATTCAAGTGGGATAGTAAGGTACAGAGGAGAGGGGTTGCATATCCACTCCAGCTGTGTTTAGTAATCTGACAGATAGTGCTTTCTGTTAATTCTTTGTATTGAGCCTCTGGGCCCGAGCCAAGTCAGACAACAATACTGCATCCTTTAACCCTTTCCCTGCTGTATATAGACCAGGCCAGGTGTCTTGTCGCTGTGAGGTTGCAGGTGTACGCTTGCTAACTTTGTATTCCAAGCACTTTGTGCCGATCAGTTTGAAATGGGATGCCAGACTCTTCCTGTCTAGTTTGTGATTTTCAAAGAGGGTAACGTTCAAACACTTTGGTTTAATGAAAGAAGTTTTGTAATTGTTACAAATTAGATTTAATTTAATAACGTTCAGGCGTTTGCTACTCAAATGGCATAAAATCTATACAGACGTCAGATGTACAGTATGTCTGATTCAAGGTGTTTTACCAAATATATATCCTGACCAGGCTGCAACTTGTACAACTTTTAATTTTCTAATTGCAGTGGAAGGATGGTTCTATTAAAAAAAGTTTGTATATTAAATATTACAAATGCCAGGGTGAAAGCTGAGCTTTCATCTTTAATTCTGTGACGTATCAAACAAAAAGCATATTTCTTAGAGCTTTGTAAGTAGATTCATATCCATCAAACTATAATATGCACCTAGAGACTTGTTTGCTTTATATCAGGTTTTAGGAACTTGTTGTAAGTTAAGAATTGCTGTTTCATCTAGATTTTTTTTTTAGAAGGAACCTGTAATTTTGTTCAATCAATTTCTTTGTTGCTACTGCAGTATTTCAAAGCTTTTAGAATTTAAAACCCAGATACCAGGAGAGCCCTGTAGAAACCATATGGCTGTAAAGGGTACGCCCAGGAAGTCTGCTTTTTAGTGTAAATTGCATTTTGACTTTTAATGCCAGTGCCAACATGCAACCTCAGTGGGCAGGAATGCTACAGGATTTTGTTTCAGTTTTTTTTTTCCTCTTTAAGGACGACAGGAGCAGCCGAAACGAAGGTTTCAAAGGTACATTAAAAAAGGAGCAGTTACACATTCTGCCCCGAGCGGCTTCAAGTCGCTGGAGGTGGAAGCATTCAGGAGAGCGATGGGCCGCGCCGAGCCGAGCTCTGAGAGGCTGGTGATTAAATTTAATGATGCGAGTAGAGAGAAAGGGAACCTCAAGACCGGGCCGTCACGGCACCCCACAGGACTTCCTCCGCAGAGCATGGCTAATCAACTCCAGCCATGGCCTCCTGCTTTACTGCAGGCCTGGGATCGGCCATAAAACCCCCCCTTTCAGTATAACTCTTCAGGAAAAGAAAACTGGCCGAAAAAAAACAACATTTTGACACAAATTACTCTCTGTACATGCGTGCTATAAATATGACTATGAACTTTATCTTCTGCGAGGTACAGGACAGGAGTGGATTCAACAAGCCGTACTCTGCAGTACGTAATGTTTTCCACTAAACACCCTGTCAGCAGAGAGTGCAGTGATATACTAGCTAACATCCTGAGAAGCTGGGCGTGTCCGTAAGGGGACAGAGGTGACGGGTCTTTTGAGTGGGCTTCTGCGTCAACAAAAAATAGAAACAATGTGCCTCGCTGGTGCTAAACATTTGATTTTTTTGAACGACTGTTTTGAAGTGCTCAGTCCTCAAAACATTCAGTTAGGGCCTTACGCCATTTCTCTAGTTAAACTTCTTGTTCCTCAACATTATGTGTAACAGAGTGCTCTGTTTATTGAACATAGCCTAGTTCTCCACAAGGGACTTGTCCGATCATCAGTCTAAAAAGGGTGTTTATTTTTGTCGAATGTTAGCTCGCCATTGCAATACAAGGATGGAAAGAGGGACATGTAGCCTCTTGGTTCTTGTTTGGCCTGGCCATTAAAGAGGCGTAGGCGCCATGAATTTCCACACTGTTCCTGTGACAGAGTACTGTGAAAACACACTTTTCAGATCCTGCATACAGATTCTGCAACAAGAATGAGTATTGATCATGAAGATTTGTTGTTGAACCTAGTCTTTACAATACTCCCTACAATAATGTTGTCTCTACAGGCAACATTATGCAGAGTTAACATGTCTTATTTAGCAAGTACTTAGTGTAATTCAGAATTAACCAGTATTCCTTTGGGCTGGGTTTCCATTAATTTATGTCAGACCACCAGTAAGTGATCAAACATTAAACTGGGCCTTTTGTCAAAGTAAGTGTATTTGTGCCATTTTTCAGCTATAACTAGAAAACGTTTATTTTACAGAATGGATTATTTTAGCCCTTAATTAAAGTGTTATCCTTTAATAGCAAAGTTTATTTTTGGGAAGTCAAATAACTGCTTGTCATTTTGACTGTTATCAAGTTTATCTTGGAGTGTGAAGGTGCTCTCATAATAAAAAGCATCTTCTGACAGAATGACACACACAACAGTTGAGGTTATACGTGCACCATCTGGTGGCTATAAAAATAGTTAGAATAGAAAAAATAACCTTTAACTAAGCAACTGAAGGTCTTACAATTGTAAGGCTATGCATGTTTTTTTTGCAGTTCATACATAGGTCTTTGGTAGTTTAACCTTTAAAGGGCTGTGTAATTGTTATTATTAAATTAAGCATTTTAGAGTACTTTAGGTAATGTTTATCAATTAAAAACAACAGAGTTGAGCTAAACTATAAATCATCAATTACTACTGAGGACAGACTGACAACAGGCTCTCAGGTTTGTCTAATGCAAATCACAGTGGGAAGGTAATAAAGAGCAAATGGGTGTACTTGTTCAGGGTAACAAGCAAAGAATGATAGATCAGTGGTAGACACATGACTTCAACCTGGGATCTCCCAGTTACAAGCCCTTCTTGTAACTTCTGCTGATCAACTGACCTTTTAAATACAGTTACATAAGGGCCCAAGACTTTGGATCATGAACATCGAGAGCCTGAAGAACATAAAGAAAGCCTCCAATAGACTATTTACTCCAATCAGCTCCTTTGATTTGGCTGCTGTGCCCTTGTCATTTACTGACAATAATTATGTCCCCAATCCCCAAACCCAATGCACAACACTATAACACAGATATGTTTTGGCAGTTCTGATTTTTTGGCTTCTGTTTTTAAGTCCTGCCTTAATCTATTTACACCTTCGTCATGAGCAGTAAAACGTCTCCATTGCCTCCATCTTAAGACCCGAACAGCCAAGCGCTCAGAGCTTTCAGTGGGGTGCACGTTATCTTTGTTTTTGCGTTTCTCTGAGTAAAAAAAAATAAAGGCCTATTTTAAAATGTTATTAATAGAGAGCAGGCGGGTGGTTCCAGCAGAGCAACAGTGATGCCATTGTCCCTGAAGCTGATTGAGCCTGCTGGAGAGATTAAGCAGCTGGAATAGAGATGGGGTTTGGGGGGGGTGCACATTGTATGGTTAGGGGGTTGCTTTTCCTCTACACTGAGGTAACAGGCAGCCAGCGCTATCACTGGCTCATAGCGTTAGAGTGAGTGCTCTTTCAACATGTGGTTTGTGTTAGTGAGGATAGGGGAGTCTGGCACCGGGAGAGGGAGTGGGTGGAGAGGGAAGGGGGGGTTCATATGAAATTTGGGGTAGGGGATAGAGGCCGGAAGATTAGATTGTGTAAGTAAACATCTTCAATAGTCAATCACTACCGAAGTTAGAAGTGATTATCCACTCTTCATGAATCAATATTATTCATGACATATGGTACATTTTAAACTCCATCTATCGGGATTTGGAGGTGTAACTGTGGTCTGTCACTTCAAGAGGTTGTACCATGTGGGATAGTGTAAACTAGATGGAGCAGTACCGTTGCCTACAAAAATATGTGAAGGAAATGCAGGATTGGAATTTATTTAAAAAGTTGCATTTAGCTTCCCTATCTTTTAAACTGTTGTCAAAAACAATTAAAGTGCCTGAAAATTGATTCACCCACCCAGAAATGAGTTGTGTAAAGTGATTTGTATGCTTGCAGTGTTATTTGTTTAGGGGTTACAATCTTTGGCAGCAAAGATACTTTGGAAGGTTTCAGAGGGTAGTATTATCTCTGGATAGCTTCTTTGTGGCTGTGGAAGCTTTTTTTTGTTCTTGAATAATAACTTTTGCAAACACAGTAACAGGTGGATTAGGCGTTACGTACTGGAAAAAAATCGAAACAAACGTGACAGTAAAAGACAATATAGCTTTGCAGCCTTTACATTACACTTCAGTCTTCAGGACACCCGCTCTTGTTTTCACCTCTGGCTCAACGCTGATGTAACTGGACCTCCAATTAAAGTAATTGTAACTCCCCCTGTCTTATCATGTATCACCTGGTTAAACTGAACTATTTAATTCTTTTAATTGATTTCTTAAACAACCTAGTGGCATCCTTCTAACTCTTTTATTTTAAAAGAAACTTAAAATGTCCAACTTTCACGTGATTGAAAACCCTCTGAAGGTTCCAGATAAGCCACGTGTTAGTTCGGTTTGGATCCAGTTAAGTGTGTGAGAGCTTGACTGGGATAAAAGCTCCCAGGGGTCTCCTCTTCCCTGGTCAGCCTGTTTGCTCTCTCCCACAGCTGGAGCGCATGCAGCTCCTGGAGTCCCGTGATCAGAATCAGGAGAGCGAGCGGCGCAGGTTCGAGGAGGAGGAGAGGATTTACAAGCAGAAGCTGCAGGCCTATCAGGATGGGCAGCAGAGACAGGCGCAGCTGGTACAGAAACTCCAGACTAAGGTAGTGAGGCTACTGCAGTGCTTTACTAGTCCCAGGAGGGTTCATTACACTCTTTGTTTTTTCATACCCGCGATAGAAAGGAAATAGACCTGTTATGTATGCTGAAGATTTTTTCATTTTGTATTGTTTGTTTGTTGAAGAGAAAATAATAATAAAAAATTATTTTTCACAGCTGTAGACATTCGCTTGTTGAAGTCAGTAAAACCCTTTGTGTCAGATACGTTTGCTGTGTATTCTATATACTGTACTCTAATATTAACCAAGTCCTCATGCTATTGGAAGGGTGGACTAAGTAGAACCCCAGGAGGATACTAATAGAGTGAATGTGGTTGATTTATTTGTTATGGAAAAACTTGTGGCAGCGGCAATTGGTGGAAAGTTATTTTTTTAATTCAGAGTGGCGGCATTTACGTTTGCAATGCTGAAGGGTGACCTCTGTTCAGGTGCTGCAGTACAAGAAGAGATGTGGGGAGCTGGAGCACCAGGTGCTGGAGAGGACCTCAGAGTCAGAGAAACTCAAGAGCTCGGTAAGCCCGCCCCAACAGCGCACACCCTGTCGTACTCATTGTCACCAGAGCTGCTACGCCTAAGTCTCATTCAGGCGTTTGTCTGAAAAACATGCTACTGTATAAAAGAAGGCACACACAGTGAGTCTGCAGGCGGGTCTGTAGCCGCGGTATTGCGCGTTTGAGCAGTTCTGTCCCGTGATTCCCAGCTGCAGGCTCAGCTGGACTCCTCCGAGGCTCGTCTCCGCCGGGCAGAGCAGGAACACAGTGCAGACCTCGGGAACACACTCAGGCAGCTGGAGGAGGAGCAGAGCAGGTGGGCGGCCGTGGAGTTTAGGCAGTGTTTGAGAGGGTAGATACGGAGACACAGCAGGTGCCTTTTTGAAAATGAAGTGTGACATTTATAAGGGGACATCCAAAGAATTTCTTCACCTGCATGTTCACGCAATCACATCTGTTCACTTACTAGGTATTTAGAATTGAACCTTTTATTGCAGACAACATAACATAGAGCAGCAGTTCACTAAGGAACCTTGCATAGTTTTTCTTAATTCAGCTTTTTAGCCTATCATTCTCATTTGCTACATCTGAATAATAAAACTATTTTGTAGTTTTGTTTATGCAAAGATATTGATCCACCAAGCACAGCAATATCCACAAACACATCTAATGAAACAAGCAGATACTCCAATTACAATTATGAGCACTAACTCATTAAAAAAACACATAAACCAAAGACAGGAAATCAATTTGAAAGGTATTTAGACTGCCAAAATAACAGCAATTACAACATGAATTCAAAAACTTTACTTATTTTTTAATAAAAAAAAACATTCTGCTTTTCTAAGATATTTGCATCACTAGGTACCTGTCGGTGCTTCTTCTTTCTCTGTCTGACACGTGTCCATGAGAGAATGTACAGTAGCAAGCTGGCCTTAAAAGAAACTGTGTTGAATGCAGTTAATTAGCCAACTAAGGTTGCTGCTGGAAGAGGTGTTAGTGGGGCCAGCAGGGGGTGCTCACCCTGTGGTCCATGTGGGTCCTAATGCCCCAGTATAGTGACGGGGACACTATACTGTAAACAGGCGCTGTCCTTCGGATGAGACGGAAAACCGAGGTCCCGACTCTCTGTGGTCATTAAAAATCCCAGGGCGTTTCTCGGAAAGAGTAGGAGTGTAACCCTGGCGTCCTGGCCAAATTTCCCATTGGCCCTCACCAATCATGGCCTCCTAATAATCCCAATCTATGAATTGGGTTCATTACTCTGCTCTCCTCCCCACTGATAGCTGATGTGTGGTGAACGTTCTGGCGCACTATGGCTGCCGTTGCATCATCCAGGTGGGTGCAGCAGTACTTCCCAGTGAAAAAGTGAATTGCATTAAGCGGTAACATTTGAGTTTTACAAAACATTCAGATTTACTACCCTGCATACTTCTTAGTTAGAAACATGCATCTGAAGTATAAATTAATGAAATAGTAAGCATACTAACAGACCCGTGCTCACTGTTTTCTTACAAACATTTTGGAGTGGTAACAATGTTTGTGTCTCAGGTGTGCTACCCTTGCCCAGGTCAACGCCGGGCTCCGTGAGCAGCTGGAGCAGACCAGCTCTGCCAATCACCAGCTGGCAGAGAGTGTGAGGAGAGCCAAGGAGGAGGTGGAGCAGCGCGATGCCAGACTGCGGCGCGAACAGGAGGTAAGAGCTCATCAGCGTCAGGGCAAGCAGAGCTCGAATACTGTATTTAATTATGCTGTTTGTTTATGTTTGATGTTTTAGAGTGGAACGACATTTTTTTTCTGAGGGGCTTGAGGAGCCTTTAAAACCCCAGCTATTAACAGACTTTTTAAATGTAGGAGGAAAAAAGAGCACACAAGGAATTGTCTTGCCGTGGAATTTGCCTTCTAAATATGACTCTTGAACTCTGTAATAAATGCCTGTGTGAATAATCTGCTTTTCTGGTCTTAGTGGTCTGTTAAGGGTTTTTCATCATGTAAACTTGCTCAGTTTTAAGTGGATCCTCTGGACTTATGTGTAAAGTCCCAGAGGAGGGGATAGAGGGGGTGAGGGGAGGGGA